CTCCGAGTATATGAAAAGAAGAGTGAATTGAAACGGCTCTCTGTTCTCACCACTAATGTAATCACATAGCACTTATCTGTGACAAAAGTCCTAAGTGTCACTGATTTTGAAGCGCGCTGTATATATGTCTGGCCTTAGGGCACAAAACAATATTTACAAACAAGAACAGCATGTGGTTTCCCTGTTTAAGCTGGACATTCACTGCTCGGATTTCGACCAAGTCAACAGGAGATATTCGAGCTGTCGATGGTCCTGTCAACATCCCTCCGTTTGACAAAAGTCAATTTAAAAAAAACTTCTTTTGTCAAAGAAGTCGATCTGAAAGTTGTCTGTTGAACACTGGCTGCAGCCAATCACTGCGGCAGAAGAAAGACAAACCTTCTGCTTGGAGTTGGTCCTACTAACTATTTCTGGTCTCCCCCTGCATCCAATATCATGAGAACGTTTACTGATTAGGTGCAATGGAAGCTACAACGCTATGGGTTGAGTATTTGTGAGAAGCGACCACATGCAGCTTAATTACAGAGACGGGTTCAGATTCCATTTACCTAAAAGAATCTTGTGACTGTGTCTGGTCTTGGGAGGACACAAGGACAGATGTACATACATACATACATACATACATACATACATACATACTCTACCCCTTACTTCAATGGTCATAAGCCTGCCTCAAATTCCAGGCAACGACTTCAAAAGAGACCTGTCCTAAAGAAAATATGGACCTGCAAGGAAATGGCTGGTGTGTAGGCAAGTGTTTGGACTTCACTTGAACACTTGTTCCAAGTTAGTGATTTAGAAGGTACTGAAGCCAGGAGGTCAGCATGACGGCCTAGGAACTTTTCAGAAGAAGCTTTGCAATGGCAACTTCCATATTTTTCTTAAGACAGATTTCCTTTAAGGGTCAATTCATCCTAAAAGTTTCAGCTGAGCCCTGGTGACTCGGCCAAAACCGAGTGGTGTGTGGCCATGTCGGCACCCCTCTGAAGAAGCTGGTGTATGATGTCCACAATCGGACAGATAAGACCAATGTTTATCTACTTATGCTAAATTAGTTAGATTAAAAGCATAATTCAGGTTGATATTACTATAAAAGGGAATAGGAGTATGGTATTAAAAGGGCGGTAATATCTAGGTGCTTCTAGATCAAAGGTCCGTGTCAGACCAAAGATGTCGGAACAGCAGGTGGCAAAAATAAGTATGCTGGATGCTTTCACCAGTAAGAGGTCAGTAACCCTGCCACAGAGAAGTGCATAGGCGTTTTCCTGCTTTACGATATAGGATCACAGAGTTTACCAGCAGGATCCATAACATAGGAAACACTGCGCTAAATGTACAGAGCCCCCCAGAAAGAATGCTTGAAGGAGGGGAAATAAAATAATGCAACTCTTCCAAATGACTTGGAGGCGGTGCAAAATCCACTGACATGACAGAAAGGACAAGGTCAGGCAATGATTTGATGCTGCAAATTTTCCGAACTGGAAATCACAGCATCGATTTCCTGCCTGGGATCCTCCGTTCAGTATAGATTTTAAAGGGAAGTTGTGCTAAGAGAAACACATGGGCCGACATTGCTGAACACTTGTAGGAAATGTACATTCCTGGCTATCATGCTGACCCAATGGCTTTAATACTTTGAGTCACTGTGTGTCATTAAAGCGGAACTGTACTCCCCTCCAGCCATGCAACGTCCTCCCTCGCTGTCGCCAACAACTTCACCCGCTCTTCTTCCAGGTTCAGGATTTGTGGCTGTGTTGATCGGCCGTGTCAAGATGATGTAACACCTATGCATACGTGGGAGTTTATAGTATGTCTCTTCCGCAATAAAAAGCCTGCCTGTTCCTACTATTTTATGTCAAGTTCCACTTCAAGTATGAGTCTTCACTTGCAGAATTCCAGGTCAGTGACTGTAAGTACTCAAGACAACCAGGTAACCAGCATTCAAAGGAGACCGACCATAGAACCTGCATATTGCTCTCAGTACAGAGGGCCTATTCACACCAAAATCGGAAGGTTATCGGAAGTCAACGGAGGGCCCGTTAACTAGTGATTGCATCATTCGATTTCCTTCCAATCCGTTGCGATATGTTTTTCAACGGATGCCAACGCAAGGGCACCAAATAATGAATGGGGTTAGTTCACACCGGATCTGTTGCGTTACACTGCGCTGAAAAGAAAACAAAAATCAGCAGTGTATGTTCAACTTGTTTTGTAGCGCAACGTAATGGAGCGGTGCAAAATGGTCCCATTCACACACATTCATTTTTTGTGTTACCTTCCATTGGCATTTGTTGGTGTTATCCTTTAAAAAACAGATCACAATCTGGATCTGGTGTGAATGGGGCCTCAAGGATAACTATACGTTTAGATAACCATCCTTTAAATTTACCCCACCTCCCTCTATCCAGCACCCACCCAAGGTTTTACACTCCCATATCCACACTGCTGCAAGACCCACAATATCCATTCCAATGATAGATGGCCCCTCTGTACATGTGCAAAAGTCAGGGACTGGCTGGGGTGTTTGCAACAGCAGCTGCGTGGCTTCTTGATGTGCCGCACAACTTAGATCTTGCAGGAATGTGGAATGCAGGAATGTCTTTAAACCTTCTAGAGTGGGTGACCCCCGCCCGCCAGCCACTGGATGTGTGGGCCCATGAGCACAGGAACACGCACTGTGGTTTGTGCACAACCTGCGCATGTGCAATGCACTACCTCCCTCCGTGCTGCAGCAGTAGCTGAGCACAACATACAAAAAGAGCGCACAACGCGCAGTCACATGGTCTGAACAAATGCAGAAGTAGCTGTATGTGCAGTGTTTGGCCATGTATAGTGGGACAGTGTTTGGCCACCTACTCTAGAAGTATTACAGACAGGCCAGGGACAGGCCTACAGGTATACCTGGGAAATTCAGCATCTACTGTAAAACCCGACAACTGCTTTTTAATATACTACAGAAGCTGGAAAACATAGGTACTTTTTGTGACAAAGGTGAACTAACACTTTAACCATAACACCCTTCAACAAAAGCAGAAACCCAGAGACATTTTTATTTTTTTCCCTAAGCAGTTTGAAGGCCAGTGATGGCAACACACACACACACACACACACACACACACACACTGCAGATGGAGATTTAAACCGGCGGGGAGATGCCATTTAAATGCTTCGCTCAGCATATCGCCATTGGATCTGAAATGAGAATTTTAGCATTGTGAGGTGGTCAGCCTGCCGAGGACCAGTTCCAATATGCATGCCTTGGAATGAACAAAGAGCTCCAGTGTGTGTGTAAAGAGACACGGCAGAAGGATTATATCCCGGGGACAATGACCCCCTACTGCCGCTGCAGATAAACTTGATGAGAACTGCTTTGACAGAGAGGACAAAAGGGAATAAAACCAGGAGAAGCAAACAAAAAAAATAAAAATGATAATAATGTGCCAATTCCCTAAATTCTAATCATCTCATACTGCGGATCCCTCCACCTTTCTGCATGAATCGTTTTATTAAATGCATTTTTCCACGCTGCCGCACAGCTCGCCGAATCCACTAGATGACTTTTCCTTTTTCCTGCTTCCAAACAACTTCTGCCAGACATTGCAGAGATGTAAAAACTAGCGGAGCAGACACAGGGTAGCGCAACAGTCTGCATCCGCACATTTTGCTTAGCGACACAGGGAGACGCTCAATAACCAATCACGTTTTCCACAACTACATCAAATTAACAGCAGCAGGAAAAGAGAAAAAAAAAGAGGCTTTTTACAAAGTGCAGCAGCAGCACGCAGCCGCCAGCGGCTTTCACTGGAAACCTGATTCCATTCCAGCTCGTTGTTGCGTTACTGAACTGCTAGGCAACATCCATGCAACCACGGTGGATCGCTTCCAGTGTATACAAGGCCAGGCCCGGGCAAGACAACAACCTGCAACACACACACACACAAAACTGCCATCTGCAACAAAGCAGAAGGAGAAAAGACGCTCCTGCCATCATTCCAACCCCGCACAGCTACAGAGTATTTCCAGGTCAAATAAAAGCCGTACCATCAGAAAAGGCAAAATGCCATCTGGAAGAGGGGGATGGGGACGAGGGGGTAAAGGGACGAGGCGGTTAGTGGGACGAGGGGGTTAAGGAAGGGCAACCAGTTTTTCTGGTTTCAAAAGCATACAATCCAGATTGGGGTAAAGCATGTTTTTAGCACCAGGACCCAATCGAGATCACAAGGAAACATAGACGGACCTGAAGCAGGTACAGCACTGCACCCAGCTACAGGTTCCTCAGCATGGGGGGCCACTTTACCGAAATCTGAGGCTGCATTCACACCGGCACTCTTGCATCTACATTAATCCAGAATTCAGGAGCCGTCTGTCCAATCCAGGAGCCAGACAGATTGTTTTGGGGTTTGTTATTTTAGCAGCCAGCACCACTGACAAACTCATAAGTTAAGCGGCAGGAGCATCGGCACTGTCCAATTTGAGGAATGATCTGAGAAGTCTAAAGGAACTTTAAGCTGGGTGGGTTTAGAGTATCTGATCAGTCCCCGGGCGCAGAGAATTCTACTTGCTATTAAAGGCACAGTTTGAATGATCCCATTAGAATCATTGAGGGGGAATTTATCAAAACTTGAGCAGAATGTGGAGCAGTCGCCCATGGCAACCAATCAGCTTCTCTCTTTCCTTTTCAAAGCTTAACGGAAAAAACTGGAGAAGCTGATTGGTTACTACGGGCAACGGCTCCAGTTTTACTCAATCCCCCCCCTTTATGTTTACTACCGGTGTGAAGGAGGCCTCGGTCGCCAAAGTTGCCAAGCGGTCAACGTACTGATGACAAGAGATCCACAAAGACCTGTGTGACATCAGATGTACAGCACTGAACACACACTGATCATTTTATACATGGCTTTGGTTATCGATTGATATCAATGCAGACAATGTGAAACAATTACCAATCAATCAATCAATACAGATGATATCTACAAGCAGCAGTCACCCTCCTCTCTTACCTCTCATGCACTTTAATGACTTTCTCAGCTCCTCCAACTTCCTTGTGCCCCCCTAATATGACAGTATAAATCCAGCCGAAGGTCCCTGTGGCCCCGGATGAGAGGCCACACACACAGTCCCGGCAGTGGGACCCGGGCACACAAAGACCTGTCCAAGTCCCTAATCCAGAGCTCCGAAGTTCTCCTTCCTTCCCCTCCACGTTCTTCTCTTCTTTCCTGGAGGAGGAGCGATTCGAGAATACAAAAAAAGGTTACAAAGGGGGGAGAAGTCCTGAGGGGGGAGGAGAGAGTGTGAAGAGGGGGTGACCCGGCGGGTGTGGAGTGGTCCCAGTGCGGTGCCCTCTGAGGGTCACTGTATGAGGGGGAGGGGGGGGATTTGGGGGGTATTGTCGCACTAT